CATGATAGTTTGCAGGCCCTGCCACATCTGACGAGTGTTCAGAGCTGGTGTAGTAGGATTCGATCTTGGTCTGGTATTGAAGCTTAGCCTGATTGATGGTTCGTTGGAGGGCTTAGCAGGATTTTTTTTATAAGCGTCTGGATTAGTGTCCCACTCCTTGAAAGCGGCAGCTCTAGCCTTTAACTCAGTGTGGATGTTGCCTGTAATCCATGGCTTCTGGTTGGGATATGTACGTACGGTCCCTGTGGGGACTACATCGTGGATGCACTTAGTAATGAAGCCAGTGACTGAAATATACTTGTAACGAGCATAATGGCTGCCATTCTGTATGAACAAAAGTTTCTTACCAAGCCCTTTGCATTGAATTCCTTGAGAAACTCTTGCTTGGTTGGTAGTGACAGGAGGGACGAGTCTGAGGGGGTTATTTGCACTGTGTGAAAACATAAAACAAATTGTTACTTCAATAGTACATGGTACAATGAGCCATTGTGTACCTGATTGACCACGCTGGATATTCATTCAGTTGTTCTGGTGGGTAGTTCACTAGGTAGGAATCAATACTGTATATAGGCAGGCAATGTGCTGAACAGGCAAACATAGCTAACTATTTTGGTCGATTACCAACAAAATAATGATTGAATCACAAAGCATAACAAAACATGCATACAGCATTTCTTACCTCTCTTTCAGTGTTGTTTTGCGACACCACATATTTTACAGCCTCAGGTTCCCTCAATCAGACTGTCTCCACCAGTATCTCCCTGAGAAATATGTTTGTGTGATGTTACTGTACCAAATGTTATAGCTAGATGCATTTTTTTGGGGTGGTCCTCTGCCAAAAATGCTGTCGACCACCTAGCTAGCTAGCATTATCATCTACAAGCCAAACACACTATCACAGGGTTTCTCAAACTTGGTTCTCGGGACCCCAAGCAGTGCACCTTTTGTTTTTTGCCCTAGCACTACACTGCTGATTTAAAATAATGAACTAATCATCAAGCTTTGATCATTTGAATCAGCTGTGTAGTGTTAGGGCAAAAACCAAAATGTGCACCCCTTGGGGTCCTGAGGACCGAGTTTGGGAAACGCTGCACTATCATGTCAACAATCTGCATATCTAGCTTTGTGGGGTTTATGCAGTGTAGCTACATGATGCTATCGTTAGATTACTTTGAGTACAAACAGTCCGAATACAGAACATGTTAGCTAGCTAAGTAGCCGTGTTAGCTAGATTGAACACACTGAGGTTAGCAGCTAACATAACTAGCAGGCTAAAGACGCAAACCAACACTTACCTACCAGTCCATGTGAACGGTGGCCATTTCGGTGTCACTCTTCCACCTTTCAAAATTAATTCCAATGTTTATCCGGTTTCTGGATTGGCATGAGCAATCTTTTTCTCTGTTCTTTTTCTCTTTTGGGGTCGAGTTGGTTCAGATTCAAGTACCGAAAATGATGGTTGTTTCTGTTGTCCCTGCTACAAGCTTGTTGGCTTCATCTGTGCTTGTAACGTTAGCTTGCAAGTGACTTTCACTTCCTCTCCAGCAGGGTTATTTGAGTAGGTGGGATTTAACTCAAAGACACACCTTGCCCAGAAGGCCAGCCCAAGGCGGCTCAGGGCTCCACCCCCTTGTTTTTGTTCAAAGTGAAAACACTACACAAGAAGTGGGGCGGCATAGGGTCGCCCACGACCTGCAGATTCCTGCTTGAAGGAAATGTTCTCTTAACTCTTAACACCAAAACATGCTAAATAGGTTGTCAGAAGGTTTTTGATAACATAGAATGTTCCCATAACTAACGCAAAACTGGACACTGGACACCCTAATTGCTCATGTAAGTCGTTCTGGATAAGAGCGTCTGCTAAATGACAAAAAATAATAAAAATAAAAAATACTACTCCAAAAATAAAAAACTATATTCACTCATTACTGCCACACACAGGTCGGCTGGTCCAGCAGCAGGAAAGGTAATTGATTTGATCACCTACAGCGGTGTATGAACGTCATATGAATCTTTTGTTTCACCCGCGCTACATGGAATGCAGTAATATTTAATGTAAGTAGACAATATAGGGTACGTTTTTACAGTTGTATATTTCTAGATAGCTTTATTCAGTGTATTTTCATTCCATGTTTTATATTGCAGGAGGTGCAGAAGAGGTGGATTTGGCACATGCAGGTCAAAAACAACAATACTTAGATTATTTCCAGACAAGGCATTTTTTTGGATGATTGTAACTTTTTATTTAGACCTTTTTTGGAAGTACATACCGGCCGTAACTGCAGTAATGACGATAGTTGCTCAGCAAAACTCCATTGTTTGCTAAGTACCAAATGTATTTTGACATTATTAAGCTTGAAAAGCTGGTGAATGGCAAGTTGAATGGCTGCTTCCTGGGCTTAAAGGAGAATCATCATAGTCAACGTCTCCTGTAAGCCCAGATTCTGGGTCACTACATATTGAGGTAGGTAGCTGCAGTCCAAAGTCAGTTGCCAGGCTGGCAATCACTGACTGAATGTCATATCTGTCAATCAGACAGGACAAGTCAGCGAAAAGGCTGAGAGATAGGGTTAGCTGGGTATGGAAAGCCAGATAGTGACGTGTGTGTAGGGCGGTAGTCTGTCTGATGTGACTAACTGAGAGAGCGAGAGAGCGAAAGTGAGTGTGTGTGTGTTTGCATCCCTCTAGTCTAGGTGAATGCTGGCTAGTATGAGATAATTGTTTATCAGTTCTGATAGAGATCTCTCTCTTTATCAGTGTTTCCCCTAAGATTTTTTTTGTTGTTGCAGTGGTGGCAAAGTGAGCAGGAGGGGAGGGGGGGCGTTGTAGTGGGTGTAGCCAATGGCATGGTCTCAGACCTAAAAAAAAAAAAAGGCCTGGCTCTTGGCCGAAGAGACAACTTTTTTCTTTATTTTTAAGCTAATTTCAGGCAATTCTACACATTTTGCCATAGGTAGAGACAACATTTTACAGTTTTAAAGCGAATTTCCTGCAATTCTACACATTTTGTCATGGGGCTGAGAGAAAATGTGCGGCTTTTAAGCTAATTTCCTACACATTTCGCCATGCCTTATGCCGTGTTCTAATGCTATCTGAGTGACTCAAACGTAACGAAATCAATGCCCCATTACTTGAATTTTAGATTCGCCCTGACAGTCTTAGTTTTATTTTGTTGATTGTTAGTTCTCAAAGATGATCTTACTAAAAAAGATATACACTACCGTTCAAATGTTTTGGGTCACTTAGAAATGTCCTTGTTTTCGAAAGAAAAGCAATTTGTTTGTCCATTAAAATAACATCAAATTGATCAGAAATACAGTCTAGACATTGTTAATGTTGTAAATGGCTATTGTAGCTGGAAATGGCTGATTTTTTAAAATGGAATATCTACATAGGCATACAGAGGCCCATTATCAGCAACCATCAGTCCTGTGTTCCAATGGCACGTTGTGTTTGCTAATCCAACTTTATCATTTTAAAAGGCTAATTGATCATTAGAAAACCCTTTTGCAATTATGTTAGCACAGCTGAAAACTCTTGTGCTGATTTAAAGTAGCAATAAAACTGGCCTTCTTGAGACTAGTTGAGTATCAGGAGCATCAGCAATTGTGGGTTCGATTACAGAATCAAAATGGCCAGAAACAAAAAACTTTCTTCTGAAACTCGTCAGTCTATTCTTGTTCTGAGAAATGAAGAGAAATTGCCAAGAAACTGAAGATCTCGTACTACTCCCTTCACAGAACAGTGCAAATGGTCTCTAACCAGAATAGAAAGAGGAGTGGGAGGCCCCGGTGCACAACTGAGCAAGAGGAAAAATACACTAGTGTTTAGTTTGAGAAACAGACACCTCACAGGTCCTCAACTGGCAGCTTCATTAAATAGTACCCGCAAAACACCAGTGTCAACGTCTACAGTGAAGAGGCGACTCCGGGATGCTGACCTTCTAGGTAGAGTTGCAAAGAAAAAGCCATATCTCAGACTGGCCAATAAAAAGAAAAGATGGGCAAAATAACGCAGACACTGGACAGAGGAAGATTGGAAAAAAGTGTTATGGACAGATGAATTGAAGTTTGAGATGTTTGTATCACAAAGAAGAAAATGTGTGAGACGCAGACCAAATGAAAAGATGCTGGATTGGGTGCTTGATGCCATCTGTCAAGCATTGTGGAGGCAATGTGATGGTCTGGGGGTGCTTTGGTGGTGGTAAAGTGGGAGATTTGTACAGGGTAAAAGGGATCTTGAAGAAGGAAGGCTATCACTCCATTTTGCAACGCCATGCCATACCTTGTGGATGGCGCTTGATTGGAGCCAATTTCCTCCTACAACAGGACATTGACCCAAAGCACAGCTCCAAACTATGCAATAACTATTTAGGGAAGAAGCAGTCAGCTGGTATTCTTTCTATAATGTAGTGACCAGCACAGTCACCGGATCTCAACCCTATTGAGCTGTTGTGGGAGCAGCTTGACCGTATGGTACGTAAAAAGTGCCCATCAAGCCAATCCAACTTGTGGGAGGTGGTTCAGGAAGCATGGGGTGAAATCTCTTCAAATTACCTCAACAAATTGACAACTAGAATGCCAAAGGTCTGCAAAGCTGTAATTGCTGCAAATTGAGGATTCTTTGACGAAAGCAAAGTTTGTAGGACACAATTATTATTTCTATTAAAAATCATTATTTCTAACCTTGTCAATGACTACATTTCCTATTTATTTTCCTATATTTCCTATTCAAACTCATTTCATGTATGTTTTCACGGAAAAAAATGACATTTCTAAGTGACCCCAAACTTTTGAACGGTAGTGCAGCACCATTGTCTTTATACAGTTTACACTGAAAACGTTTTACCATACAAATATATATATTTTTAAATAAATTAAAATTGTAATCATATTTTTTGGATTGGTGGCAACTATTTAGCAGCGGCGGCCAACCAGGGAAAGGGAAAACACCGCTTTATCTTTCGTTCTCTCGCTCTGTAACCCAATCTGTGTGTTGTAGGTGAGTCCGGGTGAGGATGACGATGACTCACGTGGGGGCAGTATTTGGTGCAGTAATCGCAGTGATGGCCATCCTACTGCACTCCTCCATTCACAAGATAGAGGAGGGACACCTAGCTGTTTACTACAGGTATGATCTGTGACCCCCGACCCTCTACGTCCTCCATTCACCAGGTAGTGAAAAACTATGAAGAGTAGATTCATATTATTGGTTAATTTCACTGTTCTGTGTTTTAGAGGAGGAGCGTTGCTAACCACACCCAATGGCCCTGGATACCACATTATGATGCCCTTTCTTACCACCTACAGATCAGTACAGGTACTACTTGTCTTACCTTTCAATCCTGACCCCCTGACTTCTAACTCTGGATACCACATCATGCTGGCCTTTATTACATCTACAGATCAGTGCTAATAATGAACGTTCTCTTCCAGACGACTCTTCAAACGGATGAGATAAAGAATGTGCCTTGTGGAACTAGGTAAATCTAGAACAGTTGCATGGTGATTCTGAAAGGTGTTTGTGTGTATGGCTGTGTGCGTGTGCGGCGGAGGACGTTATCCATGTGTGTGACCATGTTTCTGATGTGTGTGTTCTCTCCACAGTGGGGGAGTGATGATCTACTTTGACCGTATAGAGGTGGTCAACATGCTGGTGCCCTCATCTGGTAAGCCCTTCAGAACTACTAGCTAACAGAGTGGATCCCTAGGACACCTATGTTGTCCCCATTGCTATGTAGGTGGAAAGGGTGGGTGACGTTTCTACTTTCTTAGTATATACTAACCTCTCTCTCACTCTTCACAGTGGTGGATACAGTGAAGAACTATACCGCTGATTATGACAAAACTCTCATTTTCAACAAGATTCACCACGAACTCAACCAATTCTGCAGCGTACATACTCTACAGGAGGTCTACATCGAGCTGTTTGGTGAGCACACACACACTCACTTCTATATCAGTTGAAACACTTTCTGTACATCAGTGTAGGAGCCCAGTATAACTCCTGTTTATCTGCTGCGTCTTGGTCTATTAGACATCATTGATGAGAACCTGAAGATCGCTCTGCAGAAAGACCTCAACTCTATGGCGCCAGGACTGACGATACAGGTACACACACACCAGGGTTGGGGTCAATCACTCACACACACACACACAAACACCAGGGTTGGGGTCAATCACTCACACACACACACACACACACACACCAGGGTTGGGGTCAATCACTCTCACACAAACACACACACACACACACACACACACACACACACACACCAGGGTTGAGGTCAATCACTCACACACACACACACCAGGGTTGGGGTCAATCACTCACACACACACACACACACACACACACACCAGGGTTGGGGTCAATCACACACACACACACACACCAGGGTTGGGGTCAATCACTCACACACACACACCAGGGTTGGGGTCAATCACTCACACACACACACACACACACACACACACACACACACCAGGGTTAGGGGTCAATCACTCACACACTCACACACACACACACACACACCAGGGTTGGGGTCAATCACTCACACACACACACACACACCAGGGTTAGGGGTCAATCACTCACACACTCACACACACACACCAGGGTTGGGGTCAATCAATCACTCTCACACACACACACACACACACACACCAGGGTTGGGGTCAATCACTCACACACACACACACACACACACACACACACACCAGGGTTGGGGTCAATCACTCACACACACACACACACACACACACACACACACCAGGGTTGGGGTCAATCACTCACACACACACACACACAAACACACACACCAGGGTTGGGGTCAATCACTCACACACACACAAACACACACACCAGGGTTGGGGTCAATTCCATTCCAATTCAGGAAGTAAACTTGGAGCGTAATTGTAATTTCAGTTTACTTCCTGAATTGACTGAATTAAATGGGAATTGACCCCAACCCTGACACGAACACACACACACCTGAGTAGTTGGGCACATTCAGCAGGACGCAATGTTTTGGAACATTCAGATAATAATATGCTATGTAGAACAATAATGCCTCTCTGACATGTAGAATAAGGAATCACGTCAGTGCTATTCGTGGCACTTCTATCTGCAGCATTCGACAACCAGGGCCTAAAATGAACACCCGCCAAATGCGGGTAGATTTTGGCATTGGTGGGTAAGATGTCTATTTCACCAGCCACGTTGGTGGGTGGTCAGGGCTCCACAGTGCCCAAGTATGATCACATTTATAGCAAAATAAATGCTTCAGTAGCTGTTTTCAAAGTTTTGTTTCATAGCTGGTAAATTAAACGCATAAAGTCAAAGACCTACACTGAACAAAAATATAAACGCATCATGTAATGTGTTGGTTTCATGAGCTGAAATAAAAAATCTCGCGCAAAAAGATTATTTCTCTCAGATTTACTTCTTACTAGTAATACATGTGTTGTTTTAGAAACATTACAAAGCATGTTTACCCGTTTTTTGTGTTTTGTTGGTGTAATTCTAGGGAAGAAAAAAATATATATTTTGGATTGGTTACAAATCTTTTTAATCTACCTGCCACAGTGGCTGGTGGACCAAACATTTCATCTCACGCCCTGGGTTCAGCTACTGAACGGGGCCCTGGTTTGTGAATACTGAGTGTGTCTCTTTATGTTCCAGGCTGTCCGAGTCACCAAGCCCAAAATCCCAGAGGCCATCAGGAGAAACTTTGAGCTCATGTGAGTGTTCTCCCTCTCCCTCTCTCGCTCTCTCTCTTTCCTTCTCTCTTTCCTTCTCTCTCTTCCTCCTTCCTTCTCTTTCTATAACCCTCTCTCTGTGTGAGTGTGTGTAACCTTCTCTCTCTCACTGTGTGTATAGGGAGGGGGAGAAGACTCGTCTGTTGGTAACAGTTCAGACTCAGAAGGTCGTGGAGAAGGAAGCCGAGACCGAAAGGAAGAAAGCCATCATCGGTAACCTAGCGACACTCCTCCTTCTCATTAGTATACACGCTGACAGTATACAACCAGTAGTGTATCTGAAAACAACCCGTACATCTGAAATAACTGGAGAGCTAAGTGGAGCTAATACAATACAGGTTGTAGCAAACCGTAACACTATACACTCTCTCTCTCTCTCTCTCTTCCTTTCCCCCTTTTTTTCTCCTCCTATCTCATTCTGTCCCCGCCGCACACCGCCGTCTTTCTCTCAGAGGCTCAGAAGGTGGCCGAAGTAGCACAGATTCATTTCCAACAGAAGGTGATGGAGAAAGAGACTGAGAAGAGGATCTCTGAGATAGAGGGTGGGTGTGTGTGTGGGTGTGGGTGTGTGGGTGTGGGTGTGTGTGTGTGTGTGTGTGTGTGTGTGTGTGTGTAAAATAATTAACTGTGTGTGTGTCTATTTCAGACACTGCGTTCTTGGCAAAAATGAAGGCCAGGGCTGATGCGGAGTATTATACAGCCGCTAAGTTTGCTGAAGCTAACAGGGTAAAACATGGCTATATACATACATACATACACACACACACACACACACACACACACTCTGACATCATCTCTCTCTCTCTCTCTCTCTCTCTCTCCCATCTTTCCAGTTGAAGTTAACACCCGAGTACCTTGAGTTGATGAAGTACCAGGCGATAGCAGCCAACAGTAAGATCTACTTCGGCCAGGACATCCCTAACATGTTTGTCGAGGGACACAGCCCTACCCCTACCCAGGATGCTGAGCCCCCGAAAGCCTCTGAACAGGCCAGACACTAAGATCCGAGACTAGCTGTCTGTATGGAATGTGTGAGTCATTCCGCTAATTGGGGTGTGTAAGGCTTTAGTCTCAATTCTATCAGCCAGAGAGGGGGGGGGGGGGGGAATTGGGAAAGAGGGATGGTGAGAGAGAGGAGAGAGATAGGGGAGAGGAAGGAGTGATAGAGAAGCATGGAAGGAGAAATTCAGAAAAAAGAGTGCAGGGAGAAAGAAAGAGGGAGAGAGCGAGCGGGCGGGCGGGCGGTCTGTCTACACCTGTGTGTTGAGCAGGCAGTCAGTAATGCTAATATCTGGGCTGGGTTGAGTGTCAGGCAGGTGTCTCCCTGCTTTACATGTGCAGCTTTGCATCGGATGCAACTCTTGGCTTTGTTTTTTGGAATTGTATGATTTTTTTGTAGTTTGATGCTTTATGCAAAATTATTGATTTATATTTAACTTGAACATTAAGTTCAGCCTTACTGTCTAATTTGTTTTTAGCTTAACTAGAATGTGAAGAAGGCAACACTAATTCTGAACTAATGGGGTTCCGGATCTGATTCTAAATGGGGGTGGGTTTACTGGTACTCAGTCTCTTTCTAGTCATCGACAGCCTGTGTGTGTGAGCAAGAAAAGGTTATGTGTGTGAGACTGAATGAGTGAGTGAGAGAGAACCAGAAAAGCAGTGTGTGTGTGTGAGCCCATGCTCCACTCTAACCGCAGAGCAGATCTAACTGAGCCAGGACAATGAGACACTACAAACCCTCAGTATGTCTGTCTGTCGGCACACATGGGTTGGACTTTTTATAAGCGCATAAACACCTGGTGGAACTCCTTAGAACTCTTCTTAGAACCAGTGTGGTTCTATTATAACTCTGGGGGTTTGTGGGACTAAGGGCTGCGAGAGGACTGGCTTGTATTGGCATTCTTAGCTTAAGGGCTTCTGGGTAGTGTAGTCTTGGTGTGTATATTCAGTTGGTAATCTAGTGTCAGTGGAATAGTTGTAGTTAGATGGGTTGATTCTCTGAGGCTGGGATTAAACAAATGACCTGGGATCAGTTTGAACTGTATTTCTCTGATTAAGGCTGGGCTTAATTAATGATCTAGGATCAGCTTAAACTGGCTGGCCAAAAGACACTGAAGTCAGACCTGCCCATATTATCTTTCTGTTTACTCTGAAACACCTCCAGTAGGGAATACAGGACTACTAATATAAGGGCTGTTGACTGTTCGCCTGGAACCGCTACGCTGTACGTCTGCTTGTTTGACTGGGCATCGATGTAGAATACAATTAGCCATGTGTGGCTGTTGAACGCAGAACCAGACAAACAGGCTCAGACTACATTGACACAGGTAGAGCTGAAGGCCGATTCTATTTTCACGCTATCGTTCCGTTCAAACCAAACTGTGCTGGCTCTAATATTTTCTTTTCACATAGTCCATTTAAACGTTTTCAGCATGGTTCCAGGCCAACAACTATGGTTGTGTAACCAGGCCAGCTCAGTACAGCTTTGTTTGACTTCACTCATTTCGGCTCAGTAGTGTTAAAAGTCCTAGGTAGTGTTGGTAAGTTTAGTTAGTTTGTACTAATAGGTAGAGAGGTAGCGTTAGTGTTAACTCTCAGGAAAGAGCTTCAGGTGAGATATATAGATATATATATATATATATATATATATATATATATATATATATATGGCTTCTATATCCCTATATGGTTCTTTATACATAATGGCTGTAGTGCCACCTTCAGTCCCAGAAATGACAGGCGTAGGAATTGACAGGCTTACAGAGATAGACTTCAGTTCAGTAAAGCTACTAGGGTACTTCAGTAGATGAACCACCACTAACAGTGAAACTACTCTGGAGGAGTGTAACACAAAGTGGGTTCACAGAGTTAGCCAGCTAACTTTGATGAACGCTCAGATATAGGCTAGCTCTTGATGTTCTGGTTTGTTAAGAAAGATCAACGTTTATCAGTTGTTTGGAATGTTGAGTGAGTCAGTTACTGTGCCAATTTCAAGTGTATATAAACTTGGACATATGAATCCAGAATATTTAGGAAAGTTAGCTGGCTCCTTCAATCCTGCCCTTTGACATCATGCTACTGTGCTGCTGTTTACTTGATCTCACCAATCTTTCTCCTACGGCACTTGTGGCAGTTTAAATTAGAAAATGCAGAAAAGGATGGTATTCAATTTGTTATTAAAATAATTAACATGTTTTTGTGAATGTTACTTTTGTACAATTTTCATAATTTGAACGGTCTTATTTTGAAAGATTCATATGCAAATAAGTTTTGACAATGTTCGAATATATGTAAAATAAAACCTATTTTGATACCACAATGTGTGTCTGGGTGTGACTAAAACTGTAGCCGAAGCTGGGTTGTGTTCACTAGGCACAAAACTGAAGAAAATAGCCTACAATCTGAAAACGCTTGTTTTCATTATACGTTGTACATTTTAAAAACAGTGTACCCTAGTGCCAGTGGTGTAAAGTACTTAAGTACAAATATTTTTGAAGTACTACTTAACTATTTTGTGGGGGTATCTGTTGTTTACTATTTTCATTTTTGACAACTTTTACTTCACTACGTTCCTAAATAAAATAATTTACTTTTTACTCCATAGATTTTCCCTGACACCCAAAAGTACTCACTACATTTTGAATGCTTAGCAGGACAGGATAATTGTCCAATTCACACACTTATCAAGAAAACATCTCTAGTCATCCCTACTGCCTCTGATCTGGCGGAATAACTAAACACGAATGCTTTGTTTGTAAATTACAGTCCATTTAGAAAGTATTCAGACCCCTTGACTTTCCACATTTTGTTATGTTACAGCCTTATTTTAAAATTGATTAAATCGTTTTTTTCCCTCATCAATCTACACACAATACCCCTAAATGACAAAGCAAAAACAGGTTTTTAGAAACTTTTGCAAATGTATTGAAAGAATAAATATAAAATAGCACATTTACATAAGTATTCAGACCCTTTACTCAGTACTTTGTTGAAGCACCTTTGACAGCGATTACAGCCTCGAGTCTTCTTTGGCTACAAGCTTGGTACACCTGTATTTGAGGAGTTTCTCCCATTCTTCTCTGCAGATCCTCTCAAGCTCTGTCAGGTTGGATGGGGAGCGTCGCTGCACAGCTATATTCAGGTCTCTCCAGAGATGTTAAAGTCCGGGCTCTGGCTGGGTCACTCAAGGACATTCAGAGACTTGTCCCGTAGCCGCTCCTGCGTTGTCTTGGCTGTGTGCTTAGGGTCGTTGTCCTGTTGGAAGGTGAACCTTTGCACCAGTCTGAGGTCCTGTGCGCTCCGGAGCAGGTTTTCATCAAGGATCTCTCTGTACTTTGCTCCGTTCATCTTTCCCTCGATCCTGACTAGTCTCCCAGTCCCTGCCGCTGAAAGACATCCCCACAGCATCATGCTGCCACCACCATGCTTCACCGTAGGGATGGTGGCAGGTTTCCTCCAGACATGACGCTTGGCATTCAGGCCAAAGAGTTCAATCTTGGTTTCATCAGACCAGAAAATATTTTTTCTCATGGTCTGAGAGTCCTTTAGGTGCCTTTTAGCAAACTCCAAGTGGCTGTCATGTGCCTTTTACTGAGGAGTGGCTTCCGTCTGGCCACTCTACCATAAAGGCCTGATTGGTGGAGTGCTGCAGAGAAGGTTGTCTTTCTGGAATGTTCTCCCATCTCCACAGAGGAACTCTGGAGCTCTGTCAGTGACCAAGGCCATTCTGCCCCGATTGCTCAGTTTGGCCGGGCGGCCAGCTCTAGGATGAGTTTTGGTGGTTCCAAACTTTAGAATAAGGCTAGAACTTAACAAAATGTGGAAAAAGTCAAGGCGTCTGAATACTTTCCGAATGCAAATTAATTTTCATAGTTTATATATTACAGAGGTCGGGACCTCTGTCCTCATCCATAGCTATGGCCCTGGCAGGTGGTCCGTGGCAAGATCTTGAAAAAATAATATATTTTTACAATAAGGGCCTGATTTAGCTGACATCTGTTTTGTAGTTATTCCGCTTTAAAAAAACAGCCCCTTCCCACAATGACATCTCATTCAGGAAGTGTCCAAATGTTTTGGGTGGGAAAACAAGTGTTTACCATTATGCTAGCTCAATGTCCATCACCAACAGAGCTATGGCTAATTTAGGCACACAAAAAAGACCCTGTTAGGTTCCACCCTGTTAGGATTGTGCACCCTACAGGGTGGAAAATGCACATAACAGGGTGGACATTTTGTTAGAAAAGATAGTAAATAATATATTTATATTTTATGTACATTTAGATACATATTTGTTGCTAATTACGTTACAATTACTACAGTGCCTTCAGAAAGTATTCAAAACCCTTGACTTTTTTCATATTTTGTTGTTACAGCCTGAATTTAAAATGGATTCAGACACAGTTTCAACCACAAAGACCAGGGAGGTTTTCCAAAACCTCATCAAAGAAAGGCACCTATTGGTAGATGGGTAAAAAAAAAAAGCTGACATGAATATCCCTTTGAGCATGGGGAAGTTATTAATTACACTTTGGGTGGTGTATAAATACATCCAGTAACTACAAAGATACAGGCATCCTTCCTAACTCAGTTGCAGGAGAGGAAGGAAACCGCTCAAGGATTTCACGATGAGGCCAATAGTGACTTTAAAACAGTTACAGAGTTTAATGGCAGTGATAGGAGGATGGATCAACAACGTTGTAGTTTCTCTAAAATGCTAACCTAACTGACAGAGTGGAAAGGAAGCCTGTACAGAATACAAATATTCCAAAACATGCATCCTGTTTGCAACAAGACTCTAAAGTAATACTGCAAAAAATGTGGCAAAGCATTTAACTTTTTGTCCTGAATACAAAGTGTTATGTTTGAGGCAAATCCAATACAACCCATTACTGAGTACCACTCTCCATATGTTCAAGCACAGTGATGGCTGCATCATGTTATGGGTATGCTTGTAATCTTTTTTCAGGATGAAAAAAGAAACACAATGGAGCTAAGCACAGGCTAAATCTTAGAGGAAAAACCTGGTTTAGTCTGCTTTCCACCAGACACTGGGAGATGAATTCACGTTTCA